GAGGGGTCACCCAGCAGGAGGAAGGAGGTCCAGATTCCTCTATATAGATCTTTATATCACTAGAGGGTCACCAGCAGGAGGGAAGGAGGTCCTGATTCCTCTATATAGATCTTTATATCACTAGAGGGGTCACCGGCAGGAGGAAGGAGGTCCAGATTCCTCTAAATAGATCTTTATATCACTAGAGGGGTCACCAGATGAGGAAGGAGGTCCTGATTCCTCTATATAGATCTTTATATCACTAGAGGAGTCACCAGATGAGGAAGGAGGTCCCTGATTCCTCTATATAGATCTTTATATCACTAGAGGGGTCACCGGCGGGAGGAAGGAGGTCCAGATTCCTCTAAATAGATCTTTATATCACTAGAGGGGTCACCAGATGAGGAAGGAGGTCCAGATTCCTCTATATAGATCTTTATATCACTAGAGGGGTCACCAGCAGAAAAAATGGAGGGTCCCGATTCCTCTATATAGATCTTTGTATTACTAGAGAGGTCACCAGCAGGAGGAAAGGAGGTCCAGATTCCATATAGATCTTTAGCTAGACCTCATTTAGAATACTATGTCCAGTTCTCGTGAACTTACAAATCGATATTGATAAGAGGCAATGAGTCCAGAGATAGGTAACAAAAATTAGAAATGGTCTTTAGTATAAAACAGATCAAAGACTAGAGAAACTTCCTATGTCCAGTCTGGAGGAGAGCAGGGAAAGGGGAGACATAATTGAAACCTTTAAATACACGAAGGGTGTGGATAAGGTTCAGGAGGGCAGGATTTTCAATATGAAGCCAAGACCCAGAACACGGAGACATGACCTCCAACTAGCAGAAGGGAAGTTCAAAACTCATCTTAGAAAGTATTATTTTAACCGAAGAGTAGTTGATGCTTGGAACAGACTTCCAGCAGAGGCAGTGAGCCAGTCAACAGTACGTGGAGTCAAACATGCTTGGGACAAACATAGATCTATACTCCGACCAAAAAGGTAACAAAGAAAAAAAAACTAAAAAAAAAATACAAAATGTAAAAATGAAAAAGAAAAAAAAAAAAAGCAAACTCGATGGACTACTTTTTTTTTGGAGTCACTTCTCTATGTTTCATTTTTCGAATTCTTAATCCTAATTATTTTAATATTCATTCAATCTGATTCTTATTTCTAATTTAAAATTTTCCTTCCTCATTTGCAAATTTTGATCAAATTATCGATCAATTATTAATTCTCCCTGTAATAAAAAAAATGACAAAAATGTTGACATGTAAGCCCTTGAGGCCCAGCGAGCGGCGGAGGGGGCGGCCAGCGCTGACACAATCTGCACTCTGTGCTTGGCCGTGCCGTACCACCGAGTGTCGTCGCGTAGGGCTTCCCGTAAAAGAGATTTCCTAATTCAGGAAACAGAGACTCATTCTGCAACAACTGGCAGAGCAAACGTGTCGAGCAAACACCAAACACATCCAGCCCAGAGAAAAGACGAGAAATGACTCAATGTACAAGCTGCTTTTTGATATTTTATATTTTTATGATGTTTTTATTTGTATTATTGAGCGCTCTGCTGTCACAACTCTCCATATAAGAAGTGAATGTTGCAGGTTATCGATGGAAAATAAATATAAACATGGGGACGGATTTGGGGGTTTTGAAAAATAAAACCTTTTTTCTCTTTTTCCTCTTTTTTGTGTAATTTTTTTATGCAGTAACATTTTTTAGATGTTTTATATACAATATGTTCCAATTAATGTAAATATACAATCTGGTAAATCAGTTGGCAACTGAGAAACTACAAGTCTCAGCTAACCCACTAGGGCCTGTTGTGGGGAACCCATCAAGAGGGTTCTACTATAGTTCTGGAACAACGGTGGTACAGATCATGCTAATGCGTTGGGGCCCAATATGGGTCCCCGAAGAGTGTCAAAGACCATGTTACTGATATAGGGCACAAAGATTGTTGTCACAAACCATGCTACTGCTATGGGGCCCAATATGGGGCCCCCGAAGAGTGTCAAAGACACATGTTACTGATCATTGTACTGCTAGGGCACAAAGGTTGTCACAAAAACTGCTTGGGGCCCATGGGGCCCGAAGAGTGTCAAAGACCATGTTACTGTTAGTTGTCACAAACCATGCTACTGGGCCCAATATAAGAGTGAGACTATGTTACTGCTATAGGGCACATCAGGGCCAATAAGAGGATGCCTGTTGTGGGAAACCATTAGAAGGGTCCTACATAAAGCTCAGGGGACAGTAGTGTCACAGACCAAGCTACTTGCATGGGGCCCAAAAGGCATCACACATATGCTACTGCTGTGGGGTCCAGTATGGGACCCAGAGTATGTCAAAAACCATACTACTGCTATGGGGCCCAATATGGGTCTCAAATAGTGTCACAGACCATTCTATTGCTATGGGGCCCAATATGAGGGCCCCAGGTATGTCACAGACTTGTGCATAATGTATTGATCCCTATGGTGTCACAGCCAATAGAGGGGCCCAAAAGGTGTCACAGACAGTGCTACTGCAATGTGGGGCCCAATATGGAGCCAAAAATGGTGTCACAGACCATGCTACCACCATAAGGACCAAAATGGGGATCAAAGGATGTCACAGACCATGTTACAATGGCTAAATGGTTAGCACTTCCGCCTGGCAGTACTCGGGTCGTTGGTTTGAATCCCAACCACGGCACCACCTGCCTGGAGTTTGCATGTTCTCCCTGTGCCTGCGTGGGTTTCCTCCGGGTATTCCAGTTTCCTCCCACACTCAAAAGACATGCTGGTAGGTTTCATTGGCTCCTGTCTAAATTGTCCCTAGTATGTGTATGTATGAATGTGAGTTAGGGACCTTAGATTGTACGCTCCTCGGGGGGGCGGGGACTGATGTGAATGTACAATATATATGTAAAGCGCTGCGTAGATTGAAGGCGCTATATAAGTACCTGAAATAATAATACTGCTATGGGGCCTAAAGGGTTTCACAGACCATATGCTATCCAATCAATCGGTAATATGAGGACCTACCTATACTATCCAATCAATCGGTAATATGAGGACCTACCTATACTATCCAATCAATCTGTAGTATGAGGACCTACCTATATATCCAATCAATCTGTATATGAGGGACCTACCTATACTATCCAATCAATCTGTAATATGAGGACCTACCTATACTATCCAATCAATCTGTAATATGAGGACCTACCTATACTATCCAATCAATCTGTAATATGAGGACCTACCTATACTATCAATCAATCTGTAATATGAGGACCTACCTATACTATCCATCAATCTGTAATATGAGGACCTACCTATACTATCCAATCAATCTGTAACAGGACCTGTGTCATATATACCAGTCTGAAATACAAAAACCCACCTATACTATCCTATCCTGTAAGATGAGAACTTACCTATACTATCAATCAATCTGTAAGATGAGGACCTACCTATACTATCCAATCAATCTGTAAGATGAGGACCTACCTATATCTACCCAATCAATCTGTAAGATGAGGACCTACCTATGCTATCCAATCAATCTGTAATATGGGGACCTACCTATACTATCCAATCAGTCTGAAATATGAAAACCTACCTATACTATCCAATTGCTCTGTAAGATAAGGACCTACCTATGCTATCCAATCAATCATTAATATGAGGACCTACCTAAACTATCCAATCGCTTTGTAAGATAAGGACCTACCTATGCTATCCAATCGCTCTGTAAGATGAGGACCTACCTATACTATCCAATCAATCTGTAGTATGAGTACCTACCTATACTATCAATCAATCTGTAACATGAGGACCCGTGTCATATGAGCACCTACCTATACCATCCAAGCAGTCTGAAATATGAAAAAAACCTACCTATACTATATCCAATCGCTCTGTAAGATGAGGACCTACCTATACTCTCCAATCGCTCTGTAAGATGAGGACCTACCTATACTATCCAATCGCTCTGTAAGATGAGGACCTACCTATACTATATTCGCTCTCTGTAAGATATCCTACCTATACTATCAATCGCTCTGTAAGATGAGGACCTACCTATACTATCCAATCGCTCTGTAAGATGAGGACCTACCTATACTATCCAATCGCTCTGTAAGATGAGGACCTATGTAACATGGGAACACACCTATACTATCCAATTGATTTATATCCAACCAGGCAGACCCTTGAACTACACACTCATAACCCACAGACCAGCTACTCCTACAGTCCATTTGGCGGCTCCCAATGAATTATTGGAGTCCTTCCATGCTGGATGTGGTGCCAGATGAAGAAGCCATCCCTTCTAGAATTGACATTAAAAAATCTCAATCACTGGAGGTATGGGCGGACTGACAACTCATGGGGCTCCCAAGCAATAGGGGATCATGGGGCCCCTGTGTCCTTGCCCAAACTAAAAAAAGCCTATGAAAAAGGTACCAGGGGCATCTCATGGGGCCCCCTACTGACCCCGGGACCTCGGGCAGTGCCCGAGTTTCCAAATGATCAGTCCGCCCCTGACTGGAGGACTTTCTTCGAGATGAAGATTCAAGAGGCAGAGGGGACCCATCGTGGTTTTGCTGTGTGCTCCCTCTTACCTAACATACAAGCTCGTCTAGTTCAACCAATAGAAAAATTGAAAATTGTATCAAACACTTACAGTAATTTCCCTTTCCTGGTGCCTACCCATGGCGGCATACGGAGATATATCACAGGTAGGTACCAAGAAAACTAAACCAATAGAAAACCTCCATATACACAAGCTTAGGCAAAAAGAAAAGTTTCAGGTACAACCTCAACATACAGAACCCGATACCCATAATGGATCCAGAGGAAGGCAACCCCCCCCTATAAATCATGGTCCAAGTTAGTTTTTTCTTTCTTCCTCTGGATCCACTACGGGTATCGGGTTCTGTGTATGGAGGTTGCTCCTGAAACCACCAGACGTAACATGAATCCCGCCACCTGTAACTCGCTGTGACCCCCCAGAAGTAGCCCGTACTCACCAAAAAGCAGAGGGCTCTCATTTTCGAGGTTTCCTCCATCGTTCTTCTCATTTCCGCCGTACACTTGGAAAGACGGTTTTGCACATTTTTCCGAAGACTCGTCCAGCCCGGTTTATCCAACAGGGAGCCACCAAAACTTTCGATGCCCCTTAAAGGGACCCTTAATGAGCGTTCTTCATGTTTCTGGACCACTTTAATCCGTCCATAAAGGGTTTAGATCCCAGCAATGTGCGTCCGCCTGTTCTCTCCGCTCTTTCCTGCTTGATCCCCAGTCCCCTCGCCTTCCCCTCTCTCTCTCTCTCTGGCTGTGGCCCCTCCCTGATACTGTCAGGATCCCAGCATAAGAAACCAGCCAAGCCGATCAGGAAATGACAGAGTAGAAGGGAGTCGTAGGGAGGGCGGGCGTAGACTGACGGAGAGGAGATCAAAGGCAACACTTTTCTACAATGAAAGTATGATGTCAAAATAGACGGAAGGGAACGCTCACTGAGATCACATACCGGGATTTATTGTGATCACTTAAAGCGATAAAAAACTCAAAAACAAAACATGTCATACATTGCAGTGTACCGGTCATTAGATGTGGCGGCTGCATTCGTTTTCTTTTTGTAGGGCTTTTTTCCCCATCTCTGTTTTCACCCAGTGATCTGGCCGGTAGCGCACCTCCTGTATAGTGACACACCTCCTGTATTAGAGTGCCCCCCCCCACTCTGGATGAGGGAGCACAGGAGGCACATTTGGACAGGAGCATTGTCAGTCTGCTGGTGAGTACTAGATGTACAGACTGGCAAACTGAAGCCAGACTCCAGCTCACACTGTATATGCCGTTCCAGAAAACTGTTTATTTTTTCCTTTTGGGATGAAGGTTTTGCATGAATAAATAAAAGCTGATCATTTAATCGCCCCTGCCTTTAGTAAATGGTTTGCCTCCTCCATGTACACTAATAGATTCTGCTGGGTAGTTTGTGCTTTTGAAAAACAACAGACTCGCGGGCAGGGCTGCTGTTAGAAACCGCTGGGCCCCTTACAGCCAACCTGACAGACAGCGGTGTCCTGAGGCAGGTGCGGGGGTGCGTGCCGCTTTGGGTGACACCTACCGCACGGGGTGACACCGGACCAGGGGCGGACTGACAACTCATGGGGCCCCGGGCAATTGGAAATCATGGGGCCCCTGTGTCCTCGCCCACACTCAAACCACACCCAAAGAAGCCTATGAAAGGTACCAGGGGCATCTCATGGGGCCCCTACTGACCCAGGGTTCGAGTGCCTAAATGGTCAGTCCACCCCTGCACCGGACCCACTCCACAAAAAGGTAAGTTGTAAAGCAAGCCGACGATCCCCGCAGGATGGATCCGATCCATTATGCTCCCTAATCCGCAGATCTGATCCATCCTGCGGGAATCATCAGCTTTCTTTACAACTTACCGTTTCGTGGAGCGGGTCTGGTGTCACCCCGTATAGGTTGCATGCTGACGATCCCGCAGGATGGATCCGATCCATTATGCTCCCTAATCCGCAGATCCGATCCATCCTACGGGGATCGTCGGCTTTCTTTACAACTTACCTTTTCATGGAGCGGGTCCGGTGTCACCCCGTATAGGTTGCATGCTGACGATCCCCGCAGGATGGATCCGATCCATTATGCTCCCTAATCCGCAGATCTGATCCATCCTGCGGGAATCATCAGCTTTCTTTACAACTTACCTTTTCGTGGAGCGGGTCCGGTGTCACCCCGTATAGGTTGCATGCTGACGATCCCCGCAGGATGGATCCGATCCATTATGCTCCCTAATCCACAGATCCGATCCATCCTGCGGGGATCGTCGGCTTTCTTTACAGCTTACCTTTTCATGGAGCGGGTCCGGTGTCACCCCGTATAGGTTGCATGCCGACAATCCCCGCAGGATGGATCGGATCTGCGGATAGGGGAGCATAATGGATCGGACTCCAATATACTATGCTCAATCCGCAGATCCGATCCATTCTGTGGGGATCGTCAGAGGGGGTGTCACCAAGTGTTATCGCACCGGGTGACACCAACCCTAGGGACGCCCCTGCTGACAGAGCCCCCCCCCCCAAAAAAAAACACAGTTTACTAGGCTTCAGTTATGAATTAACACGGTGAGTGAGCAGTACCAATCACTCATTGTGTTCATTCAGGGAAGGAGCTGGTAAATGTGACATATTTACTGGACCCTTCCCCCACTCTCCATCCTGAAGGATCCTATTGTGTGCTTGTAGCTGCCTGTGGGAAGGAGAAGAGGGAAGCAGGCAGCATGTGGGGGTGAGGGTTTTGGGTGCAGGAGAGAGGCCCACCCATCACCCTCCCTGCCCACATCCTATTCACCCAGCTGCCTGGGGCCCCCCTGGCTGGTCTACGCCCTGTACAGGAAAACTGATGGTAACCCCCTTATCCACAGCTCTGCTTGCGGGCTAAATCAGAAGATGAAAATAGAAGAAAGAAAGCCTAAAAAAGAAAACTAACGCGGCCGACACGTCTAAGAAATGATAAGCTGTAATATAATAAATGTTTGCTTTTGGGTTTAACCAGTTCCTGCCCAGCCAATAGCAGAATGACTCCCGTCGATCCGGGTGGGCGTTATATGACGTCATGCCGGGTTGTGCCTTGGGGCGAGAGCGTTGAAAGCTGACAATTACCCCCAAATGAAAACAAAATTTGTCCTGAAAAAAAACTCGGTGTGATTCCTCCAGGTACACTAAGTAGTTGTGATGATATTTACAGTTGTACTAACACATTTCAAAGTTGCAAAACTTTGTTTTGTTTGACTCTAAGTCATAAAGGGGCTAATATATTCCTGAACAGCCATGAATAATATAAATCCACTTTGTGCATACTGAATGCCTTTGCTAACTCAGCTATTACTTTGTAAAGGTATACAGACCTGGGAACTGTAGTCAGGTCCAGGCAAGGGGTGAGGCAGAGAAAAAGAGAAAGAGTAATCAGGTCCAGGCAGGAGTTGAGGCATCAAGTTGGATAAAGTGTAGTCAGGTCTAAAGGTTGATGTGGATGGTAGGCAAGAGAGTAGCCAGGTCCGCACAGGGATGGTGGAAACCCCTCATAATGGGCACAGGGGGTGTGCAGACCCAGGAACTCGGCACAAGGATGGTGGGAACCCCTCATAATGGGCACAGCAGGTGTACAGACCCAGGGAACTCGGCACAAGGATGGTGGGAACCCCTCATAATGGGCACAGCAGGTGTATAGACCCAGGAACTCAGCACAGGGATGGTGGGAACCCCTCATAATGGGCACAGCAGGTGTACAGACTCGGCCAAGGATGGGGATCTCATAATGGGCACAGCAGGTGTCAGACCCGGGATCTCAGCACAGGGATGGCGGGACCCCCTCATAATGGGCACAGCGGGTGTACAGACCCCGGGAACTCCGCACAGGGATGGGGGACCCCCTCATAATGGGCACTGCGGGTGTACAGACCCCGGGAACTTGGCACAGGGATGGTGGGAACCCCTCATAAGAGAGTCAGACAGAGGTCTTAGCCGGTGGCAGCTGAGAGAGTAGTCAGGTCCAAGTGGGTTCAAGGCAGACAGCAGGTGAGAGAGTAGTCAGGTCCAGACAGGGGTCGGTCAAAGCAGGCAGCAGATCAAAGTGTAATCAGCTCCAGACAAGGGTTGAGGCAGGCTGCAGGTGAGAGGGTAACAGGGGCGGACTGACCATTTGGAAACTCGGGCACTGCCCGAGGGCCCGGGGTCAGTCAGTAGGGGGCCCCATGAGATGCCCCTGGTACCTTTTTCATAGGCTTTTTTTGAGTTTGGGCAAGGACACAGGGGCTCCATGATCCCCTATTGCCCGGGGGCCCCATGAGTTGTCAGTCCACCCCTGGAGGGTATTCAGATCTAGACACAGGTGGCAGCAGGCAGTTGGTCAAAATGTAGTCAGGTCCAGACAAGGGTTGATGTGGATGGCAGGTGAGAGAGTAGTCAGATCCAGATGGGGTGGAGGCAGGCAGCAGGTCAAAGTGTAGTCAGGTCTAGGCAAGGGTTGAGGCAAGCAGCAGGCGAGGGATTAATCAGGTCCAGACAGGGGTTGAGGCAGGCAGGTTAAAGGTAGTCAGGTCCAGGCAAGGGTTGAGGAAGGCAGCAGGCGAGAGAGTAATAAGATCCAGACGGGTTGAGGCAGGAAGCAAGTCAAAGTGTAGTCAGGTCCAGGCAAGGGGTGAGGCAGGGAACAAGAGAAAGAGTAATCAGGTCCAGGCAGGGGTTGAGGCAGGCAAGGGATAAAGTGTAGTCTATCTATCTATCTATCTATCTATCTAATCTATCTATCTATCTATATCTATCTAATCTCATCTATCTATCTATTATCTATTCTATTATCTATCTATCTATCTATCTATCTATCTATCTATCTATCTATCCATCCATCCATCCATCCATCTATCATCTATCTATCTATCTATTCTATCTATCTATCTATCTATCTATTTTATCTATCTATCTAATCTGGATCTATCTATCTATCTATCTATCTATCTATCAGTATCTTCTAGTCTATCCTACATTGGAGGTCTAGTGTTTGCATTTGGGCAGAATGAGTGGGAGGATCCAAAAATTGCTCTCATACAGCAGTTCTTGGTTGATTTTTCCACCACTTTTCCTTCTAGGGATAGGGTAGGTCGTCACATCTAATCCATAGTCTTCAACTAAACAAAGGCAGGTAATTTATTTACCTAGCCCCTTCTGAATTTGGAGGTGGGCTGGCTGTCCCAATCATTGGCAGCAGCCAATCAGTGGTAGGAATAGTGTCTATAATGATCCATCATTGGTATCAGTGGGCGGAATAGTGTCCCATCACCTTTGGTGGGCAGTGGACTCAGGAATAGTGTCCCTTTCATTGAAAGTCCTGTCAGTGGGAGAATAGTGCCCCATCATTGGTATCAGTGGGGGGTATCATGATATAATCCCCATTCATTGGTATTAGTGGTGAGCAAATGCACCTTGTTCCTAAGGTTATCAGTGGCTATGAATCATGTCCTGGAATAGTTGCAGCCCATCATTGGTATCAGTCCCTC